GAAACAAAGAAAAGAGAACTGAACTATTACGTTATATCAGTCCTCCTATATGGCAGTGAATGCTGGACAATCGCCTCGCAAATGAAGAAGAGACTTGAAGCAACAAAAATGTGGTTCTATAGAAGGATGCTGAGAATACTATAAACCGAACGTGAGCAAGGATGAGGTTTAGAAACAATGGCAACAAAAAATACACTTATACTTAACATCAGAAAGAGACAGTTGAAATAGCTAAGACACAGAATGAGGAAGAGGACTTTGGAAAATTTGATACTCACAAGACAGACTGAAGACAAGAGGGTCAGCGTAGCATTCCGATAAGGAGGAGACGACTTTGATAAAGGAAAGCTGGGAAAATATATAAGAACTTTCGACTCGGACTGAGAGTATTAGCCCAAAATGCAGATTCTGTGATAAATATCCAGAAACAATTGACCATCTTGTATCAGGTTGCACGATATTGGCACCGACTGAATATAAAACCCGGCATGACAGAGTGGGCCAATATCTGCATTGGAAACTATGCAACTTTTATGGAAAGGAAACTGCAATAAATTGGTATGAACATCAGCAAGAACCGGTTACAGAGATCGGACCTATAATAATTTTATGGGATTGTACAATACACATAAATAGAACAATCAAAGGTAATCACCCAGACATCGTGACCAGACCACGAAAAACAGAATATGTCTTCTTATTGACATAGAAGTCCCAGCAGATTATAATGTATTTTTAAATATCTTTAAAAAACTATCAAAGTATAAGGATGTTGAAATCGAAATCTCAAAAATGTGGCGCATGAAGACATAAATAATTCCAGTTGTAGTTGGAGCCCTCGGTTTGATTGGAAAAGGTTCCGATAGACTCAGTGAAGGGATTCCTGGTAGGCCATGCCTTAAAGAAATACAAAAAAAACTGTCATGATGCCATTGCTGACATTAGGTCTCTTGTTGGGATCTGGAAAGAAATGGGTATATACCAGAATTCAAAGGAAATAATAATAATAATAATAATAATAATAATAATCCCGAGGTTTTTATTCTTGCTGTACACGATAAATGCTTGCTAACTAGGAAATACCAAACACTCGAGTTATAAGTTTTTGTCTGTTTGTGTGTGAGTGTGTGTTTGTGTATGTGAGCATGTGTGTTTCTGTTTTTGTGTTTATGCGTGTGTTTGTGTGTGTCTGTACCTGAGTTTGTGTGTGCGTGTGTGATACTGTGTTTGTAAGTGTGCATTTGTTTTTATGCGTGTGTTTTGTTTATGAATGTGTTGGTGTGTTTCTCTGTGTTTCTCTGTGTTTCTCTTTGTGTGAGTGTGTTTCTCTATGTTTGTGTGTATTCACTTGAATTTGTATTTCTGTGTTAGTGTGTGTGTGTTAGTGTGTGTGTGTGTGTGTGTGTGTGTGTATGTTTGCGTATGATCCCTAAACCTGAAATCGTGCTGACTTATAAAGACTCTATCTACATAATGCTAAAACTCTAATATTGTATGTGCGTGTGTGTTTTCTCGAGATACAGCTTAAATGATAATAGTACACCAAACAATTTAGAAGCTTATTGTACCTTGAACGCATTCCGGAAAGAATCCATTCCAGGATTAGGGTAGCAGTTCTGGAGGAATTGTATATGAAGTTTTCTGAGAGAGGAGTTTACCCCGTGTAAGATCTGAAGCTTTTGTAAAAAAAAAACAAAAAGCTTTACGCACAGGTCACCTTTCGTGTACTGAAGAATTTCTCTATGGAATGGCACATCATGTGATGTCTTTGGCTTGGTTGTTCAATGATCCGTGACAACAGAGAAGTTTCGACAGTATCTGCCTTCTTCATTCTTTTGTTCGGGTGGACTATTGAAATCAACACAATATAAAAACCGAGCTGATGGATTCTCTATCGTCTCAGCTATTAGGTCGACCATTACAGTTCCGTCATTATGAGGACAGTAGAGAGTGAAAATGAAATTGATACTAGGAGCAAGTGCCATTCGGAAGCATGTAGCAGGGTCCTCCCTTTTTCGGTGGTCTTTGTCACATGGGAACCCATCCTTAATATGGACGCTGACTCCGTTGTTGTGGCAATTTCGATGGTCATGTTTTATTATTAGGGGCCAGTAATTCTGGATTTCTTGAGGGTTCTTGCACTGGGATAGATGAATCGATGAAGGCAGCAATACGAAGGCCAGGTTTAGTGGCAGGAAGATGGAGTTTCACCCCTAGAAAGTTGGAACTCAGACGCCTCACATTGGTGTAAGAGATGTTCTACTTTTGCTTTTGTGGGGTTGGGTTTGATTTATTTGTTCTGTTTTTTGTTGTTGTCATGTTTAGAATTAGAAATCAGATAGTGTGTTCGGCTGTACAGAAACAATCCCACCCAGAGGAGATATATGCTTCAACAACATCGAATGAATTGTTCAGAGGTCCAGATGTAACAATACCCTTCATCCTGGCATTGAGAGACCCCACCGGAAGCTACAGATAAAACGTTTATCCATCTTGACGCCATTTGTCATAAGAATCACTTAAAGACTTTTTGAATTATTTAGCTAGAAAGGGAACAGGTTAAAACTGTTTTGAGCCAGAATCACTGTCTTCTCAAATGAGCAATGGTGAGAGGAAAAAGATCATTCAGGCCTTCAGTAATGGTATCAACATTCATACTCTGGCTTCAAAGTCCATTCAAGAATCATGAAGGGAACAGTGAATAAATTTGAAAAAGAGTGAACAGTAGAGAGGAAAACTGGATCAGGAGGTCACAACAGGAAGAGGGATCATCATTTCAACTTAGAGCTAAAGAGATCAATTAGAAAAAATACAACTCCTCTCTCTTTGGCACATGAGAGAAAAGTTTTCAGTTATGACAGTCAAAAGAGCAGTGAAAAAAGACTTGAAAATGAAATCGTACATGAAAAGTGTGAAGCACCTTGTTAATACAGGACAGAAGGTTAGAATGTTAGAGAGGGCAAAGATCATTTTGAATAAGTTGAAAAATAATCCTGGAGTAATATATATACAGTGGGGTGAAACAAATATTCGCTCACATTTATGGATAAATGGGATTTATTTCTATTATATCAACATTTTTTTCTGTTTTCTATACATACTTAATTATTACGCATAAGTGTACAGTTAATTATATAAAAATTATGTTTATTCATTAATTGGAAATGCAATAAATTAAAAAATTTGTATGTGTACGAATATTTGTTTCTCTCCACTGTATATTTGAACTTTATTTCAATCCTTTGTGAGTTTCCGATCCTTAGCTGTGATTAATTAATGATGAACTTGTCTTTTTCGTTTATAATCTATTTCATCACGATTCTTCTGTTAAGCTTGGAGAGTAATTATAGATTATTATTGCTCAAAGTAGAGTTCACTAGTGTTGTCAAAACCTTGCAGAATTCCAGTAAGATATCTTTAATCATTTCTAAGATGCAACGGTTCAGAGATTAATCTAGCAAATGGAGAATTTTGCTTTTACACGATTTGGGCAATAGTATTCTTAAATCGGTATATTTGCTGATTTTTTAAGCGTAGCTTAGATGTGGCACAAGGCCGAAAGAATGGGGGACCCAGTGAGGATCGAACTCACCATTTTAATGTGCTGACCAATACACTACGTCGATATCTGTCTATATTTCTGAGATGAGGCATTATGTACACTATTTACATTGTCCAGACTATCTTTGTTGCCATATTTATCACAACGTTTCGGCCGTTGTACGCTCCAGCCTTCTTCAGGTAGTTGGAATGTCGAACTGAACCCTTTATTTTGCTCGCTGGGGTAGCCATATCTAATGGATGTCAATCTCCGGTTAATTCCCCTCTCCAAGTTCTCTTAACCAGGTATTGGATTCACACTCTTTGGGTCCTGTTACTGGATCTAACTAATGTCTTTATCCACTGCGCCATGTATCCTTGAGGACAGCTGTGCATGAATTTTTGGGTATTATAAACCTAATATCTTCAGCAGTCATTTTTTACCAGTGCTCATATTGCAGTTTTTTCTGTTATCATTCATGTTTCTTTTTGACATGGCACGTGGAACTAGAACAGTCTACCCCAGCGAGCGAAATAAAGGGTTCAGTTCGACATTCCAACCACCTAGCGGGAGCGTACAACGGCCGAAACGTTGTGATAAATATGGTAACAAAGATGAGGACGATAGTCCGAACAATGTAAATAGTGTACACTACATCAAGTACTCCACATATGTGTTTGTGTGTGTGTGTATGTACAGGTTACGTCTTGTATTTGAGAACAAAATTAATTTGAGGTAATTATATTATTTAGCAGAGAAAAAATATATTTATAGAATTTGGTACGCATGTTCTTATATAAATACGCAAAACAAAAGTCTATTCAATATAATCGCTATCGATCCGCTTCGATTACGGGCGTCGGCTTCTAAGACGCATTGACTTCACCCGACCCCCGATAGCTGCCTTCAGTGATTAAGTGTTAGTTTCGGAATTTTTGTTGGTCTTCCCCTTCCCGGCGTAAGGTAGATAGGATTTATCAGCTTGGCGCAAAACGTTAATAGTAACATGGCCGTGAAAATATTCGGCCATACATTCCTGGGTCTTGTCGGCCGTGGGAGAGGGAACAGAGACGTATGGGTAAACGTACGTCTCTCCTCCAAATTACTTCTGAGGATTGGCAATCGTTTCCAGAGGTAATTGGGCCTAACAATTATGTTCTTAGGACAGAATTATCAAACCACTCACGCATAGGAATTGATTATAACAGTAAGGTCTTGGTTATTGTTTTTGTTTAATGCCGAAATCTAAATATTTTGTACGCAATTTTTATTATACTTTAAGAAATAAAGTAATTTAGTTAATTACTAATTAACCCATAGCTGAGGGGAGTAGAAGCGAATTCATATTGTCCCCAAGGGCTTTTGCACGTAAATGCTTATAACGAACCCAAGTGGAATTGAACTCAGCTCTCTGATTAACAATTGCAAGCATAATACTACTCGCACATCTAAGCTTATTACGCCTGGTATTCCAAGCAGTTACCCATCTAGGTACTGACCAGGCTCGACGCTGCTTAACTTCGGTGACCATACGGGAACAGGTGTTTCGATGTGATGTGGCCGTAAGCGTCTTGTGCAGAACCAGTCGGATTTTTCGGAAGAATTGATATTATTCTTCACGTAGAATGGTTGCCAACCATGGCAAGAGAGCCCAGTCTTACTTTATTATTTTTTATTTCACTCTTAGCTGGGAGAAGAGAAGCATGCACACTTTTTCAAAGGTGTTTGTGCGAAAGTAAACGCAACGAACTCAACTGGAATTCGAACTCTGTTCGCCGATTTCTCGTTGCTAACGATACCTGCCTATCTATATCTCACCTGATACATTACCTCACCTGATACATTATCCGATTGATGAAAAAATTTGAAAGTGAAAAAGAATATTAAAAATAAAATAATCAAATCGATTAAAAACTTACTTGATTTTATCTGTTATTATCTATAATACCAATGTTTTTAATCATTTCACTCTAAGCAAGGTAATAAAGCCACTAAGACGCAAGGGGGGGGTTACTGTGTGTTAGAGAATATGAGAAAGAAGACACTATTAAGGAGAGAGAACAATAAAAGAAGAGGAATTAAGAAGAGAGAAAATAACGATTGACCTTGCATTTAAATTTTTGAGGATCAAAGTAGACTGAGAAGCAAGAAGCCGGAAGAGAGTACCACAAATGTTAGAAGAAACTATTAACATAGAACTTACGGTTACACAAGAGTCAATTCAATTGTAAAATGATGGGACCTTGCCGCCAATCTAGTACTGCGCTTAAGTTCATAATATTGAGGTACCAAGGTGGTGAGCCATATCTATTTTGTAAAATATAAAAATGTGGCACAATGCAAATAGGAGGGGGAGGAGGGAATGCTAGTCTTCAATCTGTTTTATCTTAAACTTACCTAGCCATAATCACTGACCCAAACATAACACAATATTCTTTACACACAACAACACATTCTTACTACATCCGCCATAATACCTCAGTATCTCTATGAAGCCCAAACTAGTCCCCATATGTACAATTTTTGTCTGAAACGGTAGGAGGGTAATATGAACAATAACAAATAATAAAAGATTAACCCCAATGTGTATTTATAATGTATTTTAATATATGTTAACAAGAAACTAAACAAAATACTCAGAACAGTTACCATGAAAATCTCTATCTATAAAAGGCAGTGTGTGTGTGTGTGTGTGTTTAATCTCTATCTATAAAAGGCAGGAGGTGTGTGTGTGTGTGTAACGAATGCACGGCCGCAATTTTCGACGGATTTGCACCAAAATTTACATGCACATGCTCCAAGAAGGCCAATACCGACTTTGCATTTCCCAACTCCCATCGATAGTGGAAATAAGCAATTTTTGTCATGCTTCTGCGGCAGTTTTCATGTAGTTTGCGGCCATTTTCTACTGGCCAGAGTGAGAGCTAATAGCTGGCTGCCACGAATAGACAGGAAGATTCTATTGGCCAGCGTGAGAGCCAACAGCTGACTGACATGAATGTTATCTAGCATGCTAGCATGCAAAAAAAAAAAATCGATAGCTGCATTCGTCACAAGTGGGAAAAATTTAAATCTGCATGGCACTTTTACTCCAATTGGCTCATTCGCTTGTTTAAACTCAACGTTAATTCTGATTCCGCAGAACTGGGTTGGGTGTGAAAAAGAATTTGTTGTTAACATTCTTTTTTCATTCGGTTTTTCCAGTTACGAGTCCTTTTTTAAAGCTGATCGTTTTGTGTTCATTTAGTTTAGTTCTTTTTTCGTAACAGATTTAATGTTTAGTATAGAGCTTAGAAAAAATTCGCAGTGTGAGATAGGCAAGAAGTAAGGCATGTAGCAACATCAGCACGGCAAAGGGCACTCATTTAAAGTTAAAGAAGGGCAAAAATATTTTAAGTCAAGTAATAGCGATTGCTGTAAGGGTCGTACGATTTTTGAATCAAGCACGGGCAAGTGACTGAAACCGAGATGCTAGGTCAGGACCGGTAGCATTGCAGATTCTTTTTTGCATTTAATTTGTCTTTCATAAATAAATGTTCATAATGGTAATGGCAAAATGAACCGTGTCCATTCGGAGAGATCGATTTTGGAAGCGTGGTATTGCACTTTATACGAAAGTTGGAGTTTGACACAATAAATAAAAACAGGATTTTTTTTTCAAAAATCGTTTCAGTTTTTTGAGAAAACGAGTTTAAAGATTAAGTTTAGGCTCAAAATTTGAGCGTTGGAATTTCATTCCGGTGATCATTAAAAGATTTAACGTTGTCAAATTTTCCGTACCCTTATGGAAAACAAATGTGTAAAAATTATTTCAATAAAATGTTTTCCAATTACAAAATTTACTAATTCTCAATAAATCAAAGAAAAATAATTAGAATTATGAATAATAAAAAAAAAAATTCTCTTTATAAAAACAAAATGGAGATTAAATACAATATATACCTCGGTTGAGGCCAGCCATGAAAATCGATTCCTTTTTTATCATATAGAATTTGGGTTTTGTTATTTTTCAGTGGAATAAAATGAGATTAATTCTAAAGGAAAAGCAACGCCATAAAACTTGACTAAAAAGAAATTTCTTTATTTAAAATCAACAGTAGTAAAATAAATATATTTCGTTTATGAATCTTATACTGGGATTTTCTTTCAATATTTATTATTATCGAAGTTCTCCTCACCATTATAAATATTTCGTTTGTGACTGTGCATAAATTTAGTTCTTTTGCTATTACATGGAGTATTGCTGCCATATATGGTCTGGAGCCCCTTCTGTTTGCCTCGGGGTTCTTGATAGGCTCCAGAGGCGGATATGCAATATAATTGGCCCTGCTCTGGCATCTCGTCTACAGTCACTTTCTCACAGACACGCCGTCGCCTCTCTCTGTCTGTTTTACAAATACTTTCATGGCAATTGCTCCGAAGAGCTGCATTCACTGGTTCCCAGACTTAATGAGTTCAAGCGCCCTACGAGGCTGGCATCCCGCTCTCGAACCCTTCACTGTCGAAACTCCTAAATGTAGCCGTCTCTTCTACTCTAATAGCTTCATGTCTCGCACCCCTCGCCTGTGGAACTCCCTTCCCTCATCCAGTTTCCCTGAGAGCTATAATCTCCAACTATTCAAATGTAATGTCAATCGACATCTCCAGTTGCCTTGATCTATCCACTATCCTTCTTCTCATCCTTTCTTCTATCACTCCTATCTGATCTTGATCCAAATTTTCTGTAACCCCTTGCGTCCTAGTGGCTTCCGCCTTGCTTGGGGTGAAACGCATAAAAAAAAAAAAAAAATTTATAAAATACATTCAATTATTTGAAAAAGAAAGTAAAATTTTTTTGTTTAATTCACATATTTTCTGATATCATTTAGTTTTTCCATTATCAGTACGTTTCCCCAAACTAACAACAGCAAAAGCAAAAACCCCTTCAAAATGGCTAAAGAAACGTCCGAAATAGGTCGCGTCAATGAAAATTAGGGAAAATTTCTGTACCCCTTACTCTTACAAAATGGAAAACCGTAAAGACGCGGGAAAAAACTAAATAAAAGATTAATTAAATCTTCCTTGTCTGCCATATTTAATGAAAGTTGTTTAAAAGAATGTCGCTACCCAAATATACATATATATATATATATATATATATATATATATATATATATATATATATATATATATATATATATATATATATATATATATGTGTGTGTGTGATTATTATTATTAAAAATCTATATTTATATTTTATATGTTATTATTATTATTAAAAAGTATATTTATTATTACTATATATATATATATATATATATATGTATGTATTTAGTTGGATTGATATAAGTTTGTGACCCTGGATTTTACGCTATTTGCGCGTATATATAATATATAAATAATATATATAAAAATTGCATATATATATATATATATATATATATATATATATATATATTAATAATAAACATACATATATAATTATTCTTGATAATAATTGCAACGGACTATAATGATAGTGGATCAGTCCATTTATTTACACGGGGTTGGGTAAAAAATAAATCAATAACTAAGTGTAATATAAAAATAATATATACACATATACAAAAAACATATATACATACTTACATAACACCAACAACAAAAATGTAATTATAATTCAAATAAAAATATTCACGTCTAATGATTAATTTCAAATATAATACTGTAACCCGGATATGAGACCCGGATATAAGAGAAATTTTCTCTGGTCCCAAATTAGAGCCTGTTTTAATGTATGTATAATAGACCAAACCCGGATATAAGAGAAACCCGGATATAAGAGACTTCTTCTCCGGTCCCGACAACTCTCTTATATCCGGGTTACACTGTACAAAAGTTTACACAAATATCATGACATATGTACACATCCAAAAATATATATATATATATATATATATATATATATATATATATATATATATGTATGCATGTATATATATTCACATTTACATAGATATACCAAGGTGTTCAATCAAAAAAATATATTTACATAATAACATGCTCACTATAGTATTCATACAAAAATTTAAATTCATTAGATGTGAATATAAATACATGCACACATAAATAAACATTTAAACACATTCTCTGTCTGTCAGTGTGTGTCTGTCTGTCTGTCTCTGTCTCTCTCTCTCTCTCTCTCTATATATATATATATATATATATATATATATATATATATATATATATATATATATATATATATATATATATATCCGACGGGAGAGTTCACCATATAATCACACACACATACCCAGACACAAACATATATATGTTTAGGTGCGTGTCTGGATATATATATATATCATCGGATTCGACGTATGAGGTTCAAGCAGCCCATTTCCTAGGAACCGACAACCCAGACCCAAGCACATATGATTTGCTTCTAGTGGTGAAGGCTTTGTGCAGAACCAACTACACTTTTTGTAGGCTCGAATTCAGAGACCTGTTGCACTACGTGCCACAAGGGCCCCAAACGACCCTCCGCAGGTTTTGAATTCAGAATTGTCCTTCTCCTGGACCAGTTGCCATCCAAGGCTATAGAACCAGACACGTACCTAAACAAACAAATAAAACCTGTTCATATATCTACATATAGATATCTATGTAAATATATAACTTCCAATATATCAAATGTATATTTCTAAACTGTAATTATGCATTGACGAGATAATATATTGATATGAGAGTTTGACATCAGTCTGTTACAGCGTTTATATACAAATAGCAAAGATTCACTAATGAATAAAGCACAAAAGCATTTCAAAAGATGGTAGAGCCTAGCATTAATGACAGGTAAAGATGTTAAAGCCAATCTTAAGTGAAATGAAATGAAAACGACATCGCCAGAAGACCGAATTTTGTGTTATTTGCGTGCATAAATAGTAATACAATGTCTATATTTCTGAGATGAGGTATTATATACACTATTTACATTATTCGGTCTATTTTCATCATCTTTGTCGCCATATTTATCACAACGTTTCGGCCTTTCAGTATCTGTCTATATTTCTGAGAGGAGGTATTATGTACACTATTTACATTATTCTGACTATTGTCCCCATCTTTGTCGCCATATTTATTACAACGTTTCGGCCCTTAGTATTTGTCTATATTTCTGAGATGAAGTATTATGTACACTATTTACATTATTCGGACTATTGTCCTCATCTTTGTCGCCATATTTATTACAACGTTTCGGCCTTTCAGTATCTGTCTATATTTCTGAGATGAGGTATTATGTACACTATTTACATTATTCGGACTATTATTTATTATCTGTCTATATTTTGGGATGATTTTTATTTACATTATACTGACTATTGTCCATTTTGTCGCCATATTTATTACAACGTTTCGGCCCTTCAGTATCTGTCTATATTTCTGGGATGAGGCATTATGTACACTATTTACATTATACTGACTATTGTCCTCATCTTTGTCGCCATATTTATTACAACGTTTCGGCCTTTCAGTATCTGTCTATATTTCTGAGATGAGGTATTATGTACACTATTTACATTATTCGGACTATTGTCCTCATTTTTGTCGCCATATTTATTACAAAGTTTCGGCCCTTCAGTATCTGTCTATATTTCTGGGATGAGGCATTATGTACACTATTTACATTATACTGACTATTGTCCTCATCTTTGTCGCCATATTTATTACAACGTTTCGGCCCTTCAGTATCTGTCTATATTTCTGGGATGAGGTATTATGTACACTATTTACATTATTCTGACTATTGTCCTCATCGTTGTCGCCATATTTATTACAAAGTTTCGGCCCTTCAGTATCTGTCTATATTTCTGGGATGAGGCATTATGTACACTATTTACATTATACTGACTATTGTCCTCATCTTTGTCGCCATATTTATTACAACGTTTCGGCCCTTCAGTATCTGTCTATATTTCTGGGATGAGGTATTATGTACACTATTTACATTATTCTGACTATTGTCCTCATCGTTGTCGCCATATTTATTACAAAGTTTCGGCCCTTCAGTATCTGTCTATATTTCTGGGATGAGGCATTATGTACACTATTTACATTATACTGACTATTGTCCTCATCTTTGTCGCCATATTTATTACAACGTTTCGGCCGTTGTACGCTCCAGATGGTTGGAATGTCGAACTTAACCCTTTATTTCGCTCACTGGGGTAGACTGTTCTTGTTCCGGGTGCCATGTCTAATGGATGTCAGTTATCTGTTATCTTCTGTTAATTCCCCCTCCAAGTTCTCCACTGCCTTAACCGGGTATTGAACTCACACTCTTTGGGTCATGTCATTGGATCTAAGTGACGCCTTTATCCAGCGCAATGGATAAAGGCGTTAGCTAGATCCAGTAACGACAAGATCCAAAGGACCAACATTTCGTAGTGAGCGAAATAAAGGGTTCAGTTCGACATTCCAACCACCTGAAGAAGGCCGGCGCGTATAAACGGTCGAAACATTATAATACAATGTATTAAAACTACAAAGTTCCCATATAGGCGAAGTTATATTTTTTCCCGTGCGATCACCGAAGTTAAGCAATACCTGAGCCTGGTCACTACCTAGATGGGTGACTGCTTGGGAATACCAGGGGATGTAAGCTTGGATATGCTGTTAGTTTAACGGGTTTACGGCCACATCACATTGAAACACCGGTTCCTGCAGCTTCATCGAAGTTAAGTAAAGTCGAGCCTATTCAGTACCTAGATTGGTGACTGCATGGATGTGCAGATGGTGTAATGGATAATGGCTTGGAATTGTTAATCGGAGAGCCGAGTTCCAATTCCAGTTGGATTCGTTATATTCACTTGCGCATAAATACTCTTGGGAAAGGTATGAATCTACCACTTCTACCCCCAGCTATGGGTTAATTAGTGAGACATTTATCACTAATATATCACTAAAACTGTAAAAAAATTCTTACAATGTAAAAATGTTTTCTGGTTTAAAATAACATGTCAATTCATCTCCATCCAGCTAAGGGCTAAATAGTAGCCTAGATTGGCCTTTTCATGTAAGTACAATTAAATTTTATTTTACTTATGTTCATTTTGCCCAAGCCACAAGAGACACTCAGGGTAGAGGGTTAATGAAGGAATTTGTTGTGTGAGCGCTAAGAGGAACCGGTAAAAGGTGCCGTTTATGAGGATGTCTTATTTTCTGTTTTTTTTTTTTAATCTGTTCACTTCAAGCAAGGCGGTAATGTCTCTAAGGCGCAATGGGTTACTGGGAGTGAAAGAGAATGAAAAGACTTTAGGAGAAAGAAGCGGAAACTAAAATCCTAACTAGGAAAAAAAAGGGATAAACCTTTAGTCTTGTTCAAAAGACGGGGAAAGAGTGTGAAAGTATAAAAGATAACGGTTAACCGTAGCCTTGAACAGGTTGAGGATATTGTTTGGGAAATCATCCTACTTTTCCCTTGAGCCGACAATCAGGCTAGGAAAAGGAAAACTCTGAATTCAAAACCAGCCTGAGAGTGATGCACCCCGTCAAGCTATCTTGCTTTAGACACGCCACACTGCAACTGTGGGCTGCAGTAAAATGTTCTGCCGCTATGACACGTTAAACGGGTTATAAAACTCTTGAGCACCGTACTATGCGTTGTCTTTATTTGTTTATTAATTACCCATGTAATATTTGTTTATTAATTACCCATGTAATATTACCAATTTTGTTTATTAATTACCCATGTAATATTACCAATTTCAACCCAGAATCTTATTATTGTGAATTTATACAGACGAGCTATGATTTATCGTTCTGTATCAACCTATCACTTTACTACATAGTACATGAGTAACATTGAATTTCAATAAAAAATATTCCTGGGTATGACGATAAACTATATCCGGCAGCAAGGATCGGGAGATTTGAGGTTTTGAGGAGCATTAAACCACCTCTTAATTGCTGTTGTTCCCAGGTCCACCCTGACACATGGTGGTAGCACCTGTTAGGGTCCCAGCTATAGACAAATATTGAACTCTCGAATAAAAATAAGAATTACCAACAATACCTATTTATACAGAAATGACCAACAATATATTTTATTTGTAGTTGAAGGCATACAATTGCGTTCAAAATATTTAGATTTCAGCATTAAATGACCCATAAAGGTGTTGGTATACCGCTAAACGAAATCATTCAAACAATCGACGGGAGAGAACACTTTCATGACATTAATCCATATAATGTCCAACAATTTCTAGAAGAAATCAAACTGTATTCCAAAATATAATTTCAACAAGCCTACAACATAAATTACTCATATCACTGTCTCTAGTAATCATGTCTACACAAACATATATATGCACAAAAGCCAAGTATCATCTACCATGTATTCAATTGTGAAAGCATAATAACATATATCGTATTTTTATTGCTTCAAAACTCCAAGAAAAATTAAATTTCGACATTAAATAACCCATAAAGGAGTCGATATGCCGTTAAACAAATCAAATCAAATCAATAAAAAAACAAACTTTATTAACGCCATTGAATACTTAAACATATTATAATTTCTTACCGTGTGTAACTTTATTATATTACATCTGATTTATTGGCATTTTTTATCTATACAAATAATATTGAATTTCAAGCAAGATCTTTATTATTGTTAATGAACGCAAACCTGTTACATTTCCACATTTGACCCTATCTCGTCACGACATCTTATAATTCACTAACCAGGCAAATAATATTAAATTTCAGCATCGAACTGTCTCATCGTTAATAGACACTTAAACAGAAGTCTATACAGTCAACTGTTTCAACCATTTCACATAAGGTGATATAAATCTCTTCTCAATCGCAAATTTTATTATTCAAATCGTACGGTTTCGTATTCTTGGTCTACAATGGCAATGTTTCATTTAAATGTCACGTTTGCCGAATTGTATTGTCGCGTTTATTTACCGTTCCCATCGATCATTGCCTAATGAAGTAAACATGATATCAGATCATAGCAAAAGTTCGTGCTCAACTTTCAATGTTAATATAAAATGGCCGCATATTTCGTCAGAGGGATTTTAACCTAAACGATCAACCACGCTTATTATGAAATAATTGTTTATGAAATAGGAAGGATGTTGTAAATAAAAATATCAAAATTTCCATTTCCCCTCTTAATTTATAGTGGGTTATCAGTTATAGTGAAGTGTATGAGTATGGAAACAGATTAGTTTGATTTGGCCTTGTTAGTTAGATGGCCCACCATAAGAGATGTATAAAACAAGAAAATCAAATTGTAAGGTGAAACAACAAATTTATATACATATAAATCAATTATGTTCTTTACAAATAAAATTAATATATTTTGGTTAATACAAAGTCGTCAAAATGTTCGTAGTAGGCCTTGCAAGAATGAGTTTATATGTACGTAGGCAGGAACGTATGTTTAGATGTATGTATGTATGAGCGTTATCGAAGGGTAGGAATGTATTTGAAGTAATCGCTCAGTCTTAAAATGTTCCGTTAGTTTATCAAGTATAAAAGAGGTGAGGGAGACAGGTAGAGATAATAATAACGATCGCTTGACGTTGTCAAGGGACATGTTAATACGCTCGTCTCCTCCTCTCTGGTGACAAGCGAACTTGCCCGTCTTTTATTTTGTTTTGGAGGCTTGAAAAAGTCATTTGGAGATTCACTCCCGGATATGATTCGGGTTTTTCCATTGGACGACGAACAAACTTCGCGTCGGCTCGCGAAACGGTCCGTAAAAGAATTTGTTTCTGAGAATTGAAGATTATTTGAATTTTGTTTTTAAATGTTTCCTAGTTTTCTATTGGCCGAAAAACATTTCGTATCAAGGTGTAAAATTTCACGAGTTTTGTTTTAGATTCGCTTTTGCGTGTGTGTTAAGCAAAATTTGTAAATTCGAGTCTTTTTAATTTCTAACAAAATCAATGAGTCAGTGCTTAGCATTTGAAATTTTAATTCTAGACCTTTGCTGAAAAAATTGTAAATTAATTTACGATAAAACAAACGCTGGCAATTTTACTACAAAAACTTATTAATAGTCTACGCTGTGAAATGCTGTCCTGGGTATGACGATAAACTACATCCGGTAGCAAGGAGGAGCGTGGAACCAACCACCTCTTAATTGCTGTTGATCCCAGGTCTACCCTGGCCCAGGGTGGCAGCATCTGTAGGGTCCCAGCAATAGGCAAATAGTGAACCTCAAAACAAAAACAAAAACCTATGAAAGTATAAAAATACCAGCAATACATTTTTGTATAAAAAATTATATGCATATTTATAGTAAAATTATCAACAATACCATTTTAAGGCAAAATCACCAGCAATAGATTTTATCTGTAGCAGAAGGTATAAAATTACGTTCAAAATATTGAAGACATAAAATTGTGTTAAAAACATTAAATTTATTAAATAAACCATAGAGGTCGATATGCCTCTAAGCAAAATCAACCAAATACAACCTTTTACGCAAATAGTTAACTGCTAATTTGGGGTTAAAACACTATGAAAGTATAAAACATTTTATAGTAAAAATACCAGCAATACATTTTCATATTAAAAAATTACCGACAATACTTTTTGTAAAAAAAATAAAAAAAAAAATTGTAAAAGAAATTGCTAATACTAAGAAAATTCAGCATTTAATGACCAATATGGAGTTGTTAAGCTGCTAAACAAACAAATCTTCTTCTTTTATGTGACGTGTTCCTTCAGGACGTAAGCGATCATGGCTCTCCACTTCTCCCTATACCTTGTAGTTTTCAATATGTTTTATCCTTTTGCTACTTCTCCCAAACCCTATTCTATCATCCACTTGCTTAAGCCCGCTAGGTATGTCACGCGTTGTTTTCCCTTGTCTCTCTTTCCCTCTATCCGCCTTGTGCGTATTAGATTCTCCAAGCTCTCCTTTCTCATTAGTGGCCCAGACATTTCAGCTGTCTTTTTCTGATGTTAAGTATAATCTTCCTCCTTGTTTCTATCTTCTCTAAAACCTCGTTGTTGCTCATATGTTCGGTCCATGGTATCCTTAGCATCCTTCTGTAGAACCATACATCCATTGCCTGGTAGGATTTCCAATTCTCTCAGAATTGCCTCGCTGTATAAGTTGAATATTCGGTGAGAAGACACATCCCTGCCTTACGCCCCTTTCTATTTTTGTATATCTGCTGAACTCATTTTCTATGCGTATGTAGGCCGTTTGCTTCCTGTCTAGGTTGAATAAGTCCGCTGAGAATTTGGATTAGGAATTATTAATGAACTCGGAGAAAAATAAGTCCAATGGTGCCCGGCGAATAACCATATAGTTAGACAGACACTACGTCTATATATATCAAATATATCTGCTGAGATCTTCCAGTATATTCCCACTGTTGTAGATTTCATTTATTATTTCTGTGATTTTGTTTATGCCTAAATCATCTAAAGCTGTCGGCATTTCCGTTACAATTTCGACTGGTTCTGTAGGATTTCCAATTCTCTCAGAATTGCCTCGCTGTATAAGTTGAATGTCCGGTGAGAAGACACATCCTTGCCTTACGCCCCTTTCTATTTTTGTATATCTGCTAAAATCCTTTTCTAGCCGTATGCAGGCCATTTGCCGCCAGTATTGGCTCTTGATTATTCTAATATCTTTGCCGAATATATCAAGGTTGTTGAGCAGTTCCAACAGATCTTTGTGACTTACTTTTCGAACGCCTTTGCGTAGTCTATAAAACACAGGTACACACCCTTCTGCATTTGTTTTGCTCTTTCTGATAACATCCTGAGCATAAATATCGCGTTCCTTGTAGCCAGAGTCATTAACGAACCCGCACTGTTCTTGTCCTATCTCTGGCTTGATTCTACTGCGCGCTCTATTCATCAGAATTCGGATGATGAGTTTTGTTATGTGGCTCATTAGGCTAATTGTTTGGTGGAGTTCACATTCGTTTGCGCTTGGTTTCTTAGGCAGTGCTATGAAAATAGATCTGCTGAGATCTTTCGGTATATCCCACCTGTTGTAGATTTCATTTATTATTATTGTGATCTTGTCTATGCCAAAATCATCCAAAGCTGTCGGCATTTCCGTTATAGTTTTGTCTTGTCCTGTAGAATTTCCATTTCTCTCAGAATTGTTTCGCTGTATAGGTTGAATAAATCCGGTGAGAAGTCACATCCTTGCCTTACGCCCCTTTCTATTTTTGTATATATACTGAACTCATTTTGTATCCGTATGTAGGCCGTTTCCTTCCTGTATAGATTCTTGATTATTCTAATATAAACGCTGTCAAATGACCTCAGCGCTTGGTCTACATTTCATGGTATGATTTTTTTTTACATCACTTTAACGTTTTTAACACATTTGATATAAAGGCTCTTGGCAAGTCAGTATAAAATAACCTTTAGTGTGCCTCCTCCATTTCAAGGTATGAATTTTTACCCGAGTTTAATATTTTTTTTTTACACTTTAAAGCTGAGTGATCCTGACCATTTAATATCAAATGATAAAACAAGGATTTTAAATAAAATTAGAGGCGTTTGTAGTCTGTTTTTCCAGTCAAACTTCGATCACATTTGATGAAAAGTACTGAGAAAAAAAAATGGAGCAGATTTGCTTTTGGTATTCGAAAATGATCTACGAAGTATGTATAATTAATTCAAGGATTTTAAAGAGTAAACCAGATCACACATGACCCGTTGGGTCACTGACACTTCAGTTTATAAAACAGTGAAGTTGACTTCAACATTAAAAAAAATTGTGTATTTGGAGAATGATGAAATAAGAATACTTACTGTATAAATAACTCACATTTTAAAATCTTATTCACTTAAAATATTTTAAAATCAGTCTAACTTAAAAATATTTTTAATAGGCCAAATGATATTATTTAAATCATATTCACTTCAAAATGTTGTTTTAAATATGCCCAACACTATATTTTTTTTTTAAAGAAAGCTGAAATATAAATAAGCATGCACACAATCACAAAGAGGTGGAAAGAGGGAGAGGTGAGAAGAAGGGATCGTGGAAAAAGGAAGAAGTAGGAAGAAGGAATGGTGGAAAGAGGGAGAGGGGGAAGAAGAAATATTGGAAAGAGGGAGAAGCGGGAAGGAGGAATGGTAGAAAGAGGGATAAGTGGAAAGACGGAGAGGTGGAAAGAGGGAGAGGCGGGAAGGAGGAATGTTGGAAAGAGGGAGAGGTGGGAAGACGGAGAAGTGGAAAGAGGGAGATGCGTATAGACGGAGAGATGGAAAGAGGGAGAGGCGGGAAAAGGAATGGTAGAAAGAGGGAGAGATGGGAAGAAAGAATGGTGGAAAGAGAGAGAGATGGGAAGAAGGAATGGTGGAAAGAGGGAGAGGTGGGAAGAAGGAATGGTGGAAAGAGGGAGAGGTGGAAAGAGGGAGGGGTGGGAAGAAGGAATGATGGAAAGAGTGAGATGCAGGGAAAGGGGGAAAGAGGGAGAGGCGGGAAGAAGGAATGGTGGAAAGAGGGAGAGGTGGAAAGGGAGAGAGCGTTTTTTTTTCTTTTGGTCTCACTGTCAATTCATGTATACACATCATTTCCTTCTCGCCCACTTCCTACACAATAATGAATTTACATCTTTCTTACCCCCACCTCTAGATATGACTTCGTGTGCACTGTGGCAAACACATGAACAAGCAAACAAAATTTTAGAAAAAAGTTTCAGAATTATAAAGATTGTTTGTCTCAGTTATGTGGAACCAATGAATTCTGTCAAAATGATGACCATTAATGTTAGGTTATTTAGCCATTTTTGATTCTGACGATTCAGATCTCTATGATTAAGTCTATATCATTAATGATAAATCATTATTCAATTTGTTTTTATTATCTTGTAGTATAAAGTTCTTTTAGTGGAAGTACGTTGCATATTGAAGTGTAAAATTGCAAGTAGACTACACGCTAAACTGTAAATAACCTGGCCAACTGCACACTAAACTAGCACCTGTTTTTCTTTCTCTAATATTCATAGAATACATTTCAATTGCTACGGTGTAGAATCTCTTCTCTTGAAACGTTCTCTAGATACCTTCGCACGTTGCGAAACTAATTAAAATACCTCTATTGCTACCAATGAATTCTCTGTTCGAGGTTATCTTTCTCCTTGACGAAAAGATTTTACCCAGTCGACTTTGATCTTCCAAACTTTTAAATATTGGTATCTCCAAAAATGTTTTTTTAAAAAGAATACCGTAAGAGAAAAGACCAAATTAATTTTTGATCATTTTCTTAAACTTTTTAATCCTTTCTAACACCTTCAAAATTTTGGTTAAAAATCTTGTTTTTCTGGCGTCAGCAAGTGGGACACAGTATAATGACTTGTATTGTCTTTTTGGGCGTCAAAAATATTGTTTTGTAAATTCTTGCAAAAATCATATAATTGTCGAATTGTAATGAAATTTTCAGGACTTATCCAGAAATGAATGACATTTTTTTTTATTTTTTTAGAAAATCTTGGTAATATATTTCTTTTTATATCTGTTACCCGCACTTACTTAATTTTATGAAATTTTGAAAAATTAAAATTCCACTCTCTATTTATATTAGTTAAAAGCAGAACTGCTTGGAGAATTTAAATCATTTATTTACCGAAAATCTGCTCTGAAACATAAAATGAAAAATGAAATAACTGGCATTATTTAATTAGAAAAGATTTTAATTGCATTTATAAATAAAATATATTAAGAACTCTATTGTCTTAAGAAAAATCGATGAATAATGAATTTTAGAAGAATTGCTTGTATTTTTAAAAAATTCTAATTCTAATATATATTTTACTTTTGGAAGATTTTTTAATAAAAAGAATTACTTTGCGATGAAAGACAACTAAAAAGGGCGCTAATCAGCTATTTTAGCAACAACAACAAAACTCCTTCCTGTCAAATTAGTTTTTGAAATACAGCAAAATATTTTGCTCATTGAAAACATTAAATTTAATCTTTTAGCTTGAAATTAAAACTAAAATAAAAGCCTCAAGAATGTTTTTTTTTATTTTTTAGTTATCGTTTTTTTTTTGAGGTACCTATCTAAAAGGTAAAAGCAGACAAATTGATAAAATAATAAAAATGACAATACCTACAAAGAAATTCAAAAATGTCTATCACTTCTAAAAGGTATGAGTCGGCAGTAAATTTCTAAGTAGTTTAGATGTGGCACAAAGAAGAAAGTATGGGGTACTAGTGATGATCGAACTCACTACTCAGACGTAACTGATCTAGCAAGTCAAGCTTTTTAACCATTGCACCACGTCGAGGTTGCCAAGTCTATAGTAAATATATTGGTGAAAGAAAGACGAAAAATTAATAACAGTGACAATGCTTAAGAAATTCAAAATAGTCTATTACGTCTCTTACTTTTAAAAGATATGAATGAGCAGCAAATACACGATTAAAGAAACAGTAGTCAAAAATGAATCATAATGACTTGGAAATTCGGGCAACTTAAATTCAATGCATATTCTTTTACAACGGCTTAGGAATCATTTGAGTGCATAGAGAAAAAAAAAAAAGATATTTGGTTTATGATGATAGAAATAAAGAGATACAATTCTTTCTGGTTGACTTTAGAGATTGCGATAAAAATGTCCTCAAACCGACTTTCATGTACTTAATGTTCTACGTCTAATTCCCAACAGGTGGCGCTAAAATCTATATCAGCTGCCGGTTAGCTGGACATTTCACTGATAAGCAGTCGTATCAGTTACAATCAACGGGCGACGACCTCGTTGTGACCGTCGCTATAGAAAGACCGTGCTCGGTGTTTTTTTTTTCCGGCCGGATTAAACAAATCAATTACAAGGTATTAGTAGGGATCGACATAACACAGAAATTACCTGTTTCAGGAGTCTTGACCCTTGACCCTATTAACTACCCAACTCCCGATTGCTAACGAGGCTACGGTTCGTTGCAGACATATTTCTTTTCTGTTACCGTTTATTAGTTGCATTATTTCAAACATCTTTTTTGATAGATATCCGTGTTTGTAATAGACGCCCAAGTTTTTGAAATTTTCAAACAGTGTGTATTACGTCTATCGACTTGTTCACTCGGAAAAAAAAACTTAAAGAAAATGTACCCTTCCGCAGCGACCACATGTCCTTTATTCGGTTTTCTCGGGTGCGCAGGGCAATAGAACTAATAAAATGTACTAAATAACGAGGCGTCTATTTCAAACACCGGTATCCCTGAAAAATAACTTTATAGCTATAATAAGTCTCATTTAAACAAAAAAAAAACTACCAGACTATATCCGAAACATACTAGTAGAAAATGCAAATATAATGACCTCATCCACATGTAAAAAAAATGATTAAAATGATAGAAGCCCTAATAATAAAAAGAAAAATCTAACAATATACATTAACTATGAACACGGCCATAATATGCTGACCGTTTTAGGAAAATAAAACATTCATATAGCTTTAGACACATGCATAAAAACTTACGTATTTAGTTAAAAATAAAAATAAAAAATAAAAATCGCCTGTGATAGTGGTTAAAAGAATAGCCGAAAGCGCTCGAATATGCAGAAGTTTTGAATAATTTTTACACACTTTGTATCCGGTAAAAAAAAAACGATGGAACAGTTCTAAGAACAGTTCGGATTTATATCCATATATTTGCTTACATACTGTCTACTGGAAATACAAACCTGAATTTACTTTATAACGTGGAAGACTTCTAGCTTGGACGAGAATAATAGAATCTGTTGATCAAGTAAGGAATGGATTTATTATCGAACTGTTTTTTAGAACTGTTCCATCGTTTTTGAAATCATTTTTTGATTTGCCTTGTAACAGGAAGGACTTCAAGCTTGTTGAAGAAATAAGAACCTATTGATCACTACGTATTCCGACATCAACGGAAGAGATTTCTTGAACTGTTTATACAAAATTTTTCAATCGACTTTTTAATATTTTAATTTTTTGTAAATCCTCTTCAAATACGTTTTAACAACATCGCTCACGTGACGACTACGTGATCATATTTAAACAGAACGCTGATCTGTATAAAATTTCAGTTATCTGTTTGAATTAGTTGGGCTCTTATTTCCATCGTCTTTTGTGTTAAATTTTTATAAGTTCTAATGTTAATTATGTTTAAATGAAAATGTCCATGAAGATGGTCTTAAATAGACCGAAACGTCCGACGTCGACCTTATATTAACATAATACTACATAATTGCATATTCAGATTTTTGTTTGTTTTTTCTGTATTTTTCTTTCATACTGTCGGATTTATATCCATATATTTTTACACACACACACACACACACACACACACACACACACACACACACACACACACACACACACACACATATATATATATATATATATATTTAAGCAAATATATGGATATAGATCATTTTTCATTCAAAATACTCAAATTTTAGGAATACGTTTTCACAGCGTCGCCCACGTGACGACGTGACCATGTTTTAAACGGAGCGCTGATCTTATAAAACTTTTAGTTATTTGTTTGGATAAGTCTTGTTCTTATGTACATCGTCTTTGTCATGTTGTATTGATAATGTTATAATTTATGAATATGTCCTGAAGATGGTTTATTATGAACAAAGCAACAATGTGCTAACCGTTCATTATGAACAAAGCCACAATGTGCTAACCGTATTCGGAAAGTAAAAACATCACTACCACACACTGAACATACACAGAACACACACACTCTACTAAGCTGATAATTGAATCATCCTTGATAATGGCTAAAGGTATAGCCGAAAGCGCTCGGAAACACAGAACATTCGGACAGTTCTTACACACTCTTTGTCCAGAAAAGAAAGCTCTTGTCAGAACACAAGAAAAATTAAAATAAAATCTCAACCGTAGTACCTTGTCTGTCGTTTTTAATTAAACATGCATATATATATATATATATATATATATATATATATATATATATATATATATATATATATATATATATAAATTGTGGTGCAGTTTAATTTATATTACAATGAATCTTTCATACAAAAAGTAAATTAGTAAAGTTAATGATATAAAATGGCGAAATCCCTTCGCTAACAAAATTTTAAAGATGCATTAAACTACTAATCACTCGATGGATGTTACGTTCCTTGTTTTTTCAAATTATAAGCTGTATAAGGTCTTTCTTAAATACTTTTTCGGGTAACAACTGAGACATTACTCTACTATTTAGTTCATGCCACATTGACTGATAAACTCAAAAAAAAAAAAAAAATCTCAAATTGCCATATTAGTAAAAAACGCATTGACTTAAATTTTCAAAAAAATTCAACCTTAACGTTATAACTGAACGCTCCAAAATAACACATTAAAAGAAAAACATACAGGGTGCGAGTGCTATTTGAGGACATATTGTTTTAAGTTCACTACACACTCAAATCATTTATATATATTTTTTATTTCAGATAACCCAATCAGAGGAAGATATTAACCCAAGAAATGAAAAGACATACAGTCATTGTTGCTTTAGCTGCAAAACATAGTGATTTAAAAATGAGTAACGTTTTACATGTTGCCAGATCATTTGTTCATAAGGTTCGGTTAGAGCTAGAGGGATGTGATGGCAATGTCTCCCCTGTAGAAAAAAGAAAAAAAACATTCACAGCGCTCTGATACCGTGAGAACACCAGAATTTATAAAGAATATTCAAAACATCATCGATGAGAACCCCGGAAGATCAATGAGGTCTATCGCCAAAGAACTTCAGGTATCAGAGTGGACTATTAGAACCGTGATACATTAAAACATTCGATATATGCCATATGTAATGAAGACAGGCCAATTCATATCGGCGAAGACAGGAAAACCGTCTCATGCCTTCAAAACGGTTTCTAAACAAAGTGAAAGATCCCCATGAACATGGCATGCTTTGGTTTTTCTCTAACGAAAATTTTTTTGACCAATCTCAGAAAATAAACAAACGAAATGACAGGTAGCTATGTGCATCTCCTTCTGAAGTACCCAGGGTGATGCACACCAAATATCCGGTTACTGTGATGGTTTTAGTTGTGAGCAGTGAAGGTCATGTCATGCCACCTTACATTTTTCCCATAAGGTCTTAGGGTCAATGCTGCTGGATTCCATAATGTTCTTAAAACGGTTGTTAAGCCCTGGATAAATAAAGTATGCAATGGAAGGCCATATATCTTTCAACAAGACTCTGCACCTTCTCACAAAGCCATTGTAACCCAGGATTGGTTATCAGAGAATTTTTACGATCATATGACCTCCAACATGTGGCCCCCTAGCTCGCTAGATTTAAATCCCAAAGACTATTACGTGTGGAGCGTCGTTAAAAGGGAGACTAATCGATATCCTCATAGTACCGTAACTGCACTGAAAGCCGGCATTCTCCAGGTAATGTCCAAAATGAACAGGGACCACTTAATTGCAGTTTGTGGACGGTTTCGAGCCCGAATAGAAGCAGTCATTGAAACCAAAGGTGGTTTCA